GTAAAAAAATTAAGGCATTTTGGATTAAGATATGGTGGATTATACAAAATATTCTTAAAAAGATGATAAAATTTACTCCACAGTTGTTTTTATTGGGTATAATTACAGACTGTACGGTAATAGAGACTAATTTGATTTTGAACTTAATAACTGCAGCCAGACTTTTGGTGGCGCAGTACTGGAAGAAGGAAGACTTACCTACTATTGAAGAATGGACATTAAAAGTAGCTAATTTATTTATTTATTTTATTTTTTATTTGATTTGATTTGTATACCGCCCTTCTCTAGCAGGACTCAGGGCGGTGAACAGCCGAGATAAAACAGAGCATACAAAATTTAAAAAACAGTTTAAGAGATAATTAAATAATTTCGGCCACAATTTAAAACAACCCAATTAAAACCAATTTCAAATTTAAACCAAAACAGATGGGATCAAGCCAGCCTGGCTAAGTGAAACAAATGAGTTTTCAGGGCCCGACAAAAAGTCCCGAGGTCTGGTATCATGCGTATCTCTAGGGGGAAGTCGTTCCAGAGGGCGGGTGCCGCCACAGAGAAGGCTCTCCCCCTGGGGGTCGCCAGCCAACATTGTCTGGCGGACGGCACTCTGAGGAGGCCCTCTCTGTGCGAGTGTACTGGCCGGTGGGAGGCTATTTGCGGCAGAAGGCGGTCTCGTAGATACCCCGGCCCTAACCCATGGAGCGCTTTAAAGGTGGTCACCAACATCTTGAAGCGCACCTGGAAGACCACCGGGAGCCAGTGCAGCTTGCGCAGGAGAGGTGTCACATGGGAGCGCCCCGTCACTCCCATAATCCCCCACGTGGCCGCATTCTGGACCAGCTGGAGCCTCCGGGTGCACCCCAAGGGGAGCCCCATGCAGAGAGCATTGCAGTAGGCCAGGCGGGAAGTGACGAGTGCCTGAGTGACCGTGCGTAGGGAGTCCCGATCCAGAAAGGGACGCAACTGGCGTATCAGGCGGCCGTGGCCACGGCCGTCATATGCTCTTCTAAAGACAGCTGTGCATCCAGGAGGACGCCTAAGTTGCGAGCCCTCTCTATGGGGGCCAGTGATTCGCCCCCAATAACCAGCGATGGCACCAGCTGGCTATATCGGGACGCCGGGAGCCACAGCCACTCGGTCTTGGAAGGGTTGAGTTGGAGCCTGTTTCTCCCCATCCAGGCCCGCACGGCCTCCAGGCACCGGGACATCACTTCAAGGGCATCGTTGGGGTGGCCTGGGGTGGAGATGTACAGCTGGGTGTCATCAGCGTACTGATGGAACTCCACCCCAAGGCCACGGATGATCTCACCCAGCGGCTTTACATAAATGTTGAACAGAAGGGGCGAGAGGACCGACCCTTGCGGTACCCCACAAGGCGCCTCGGGGTCGACCACTGCCCCCGTCAACACAGATTGCAACCAGTCAGAGAGGTAGGAGGAGAACTACCGCAAAATGGTGCCCCCCACCCCCAACCCCTCCAATCGGCGCAACATGATACCATGGTCGATGCTATCAAAAGCCGCTGAGAGATCTAATAGGACCAGGATAGAGGAGCAACCCCTATCCCGAGCCCTCCAGAGATCATCCACCAACGCGACCAATGCCGTTTCCGTGCTGTGCCCAGGCCTGAAGCCGGACTGGAGCGGATCTAGATAGACAGCTTCATCCAGGTACTGTGGCAGCTGCCGCGCTACCACACTCTCAACAACCTTCGCAATAAAACAAAGGTTGGAGACTGGACGATAGTGAGCCAAAACAGCCGGATCCAGAGAGGGCTTCTTGAGGAGGGGCCTCACCACCGCTTCTTTCAAGGCAGCCAGCATGACACCATCACTCAGAGAAGCGTTAATAATCCTCTGGAGCCAGCCTCGTGTAACCTCCCAGGAAGTCATCACCAACCAGAAGGGACACGGGTCCAATAAACATGTGGTCGCGTTCAGCCATCCCAGAATCCTGTCCACATCCTCGGAGATGGCTAAAATCTCTGCATATTTGAAGGACTGTTCAAATGAAAGATACATATTGGAATGGAGAAGATGGATTGATTATATTCAAAACAAATATGGGACTAAAAAGTTGCAAATAGCTTATGAATGAAATATTTAGGTGAATTCTTATATTCTTATATTTTGGTATATATGGGGGAGTTAAAGTGTAAGGGGGAGTGAAGAGCTTATAGTTAGTTTGTTTATGCTTGATTATGTTTGTTAAATGCTATACCCTGTATTTTGCTCTGGGAAGTCGGGGGGGGGGGTGGGAGAAGGGAAAGGGTGGGGGGAGGAAGGCGGAGGGGAAATTTGTTTGTAAAAATATTTTAAAACTTTTCAAAAAAAAACAAAAAACAAAAAAAATAAATAGAAAAATAAATAAATACAAAAATATTTTTAAAATAAATGTACAAAAAATAATAGATTATTTTAGCCAATTCAGTACCTTTTCATCCTTTACAACAAAAAAAACCCCTTCACATTCAGGGGAATCTGACTGGTTAATATTTAATCTAAACTTTACATTTGGATTAAATCAGTGCTATAAACACTTGGAGTTTGAAACCTTTCCAAATAGCTCTACTTTTACTTATATGCACTCAATTTAGATAATGTTTTAGTTTCTGATTTCCAAGAATTCTGAATATAGAAATGAATATTAATGTATTATATAACTATTTTGTTATTTCTATCAAAAAGTATTGTAACCTCTTAAAAAATTAATTTCTTATTGCTCAACATTTTGCATAAAATGTATTTATGTGCTGCCTTTATTATTTTTATAAATAACCTAAGACAGTGAACATACCTAATGCGCCTTCTTCCTATTTCCCCCACAACAACCTTGTGAGGTGATTTGGGCTGGGAGAAAGTGATTGGCCTAAGGTCACCCAGCTGGTTTTCATGCATAATGCAGGAATTATACATACAGTATTCTGGTTTGTAACCTAGTACTTTAACCACTAGACCTGTGATGGCGAACCTATGGCACGAGTGCCACAGGTGGCATGTGGAGCCATATCGGTGGGCATGCGAGCGTTGCCCTAGCTCAGCTCCAGTGCGCATGCCAGAAAGCCAGAGGCTTTCTAGGAGCCTGGAGAGGGTGACAACGGTCTTCCCCACCTCCCCAGAGGCTCTCTGGAGGCTGGAAACGGCCCGTTTGCCGACTTCCAGTGGAACCGGAAGGCCCGTTTTTCACTCTCCCCAGGCTCCAGAGCCTTTCTAGGAGCCTGGGGAGGACGAAAACAGCCTTCTCCACCACTACCCCCGAGGCCCTTCGGAGGCCGGAAACAGCTCGTTTCCCGACTTCAGGTCCCAAAAAAGGTTAGCTATCACTGCACTAGACTAAACTGATGCTGACAAGAACTATGGAACAAAATATTTAGGCCAAGGGTTTTCAATGTTTTTGTGCAAAGGATGTTTGAGAAGCTGGTGAGCCCCTTCTGAGAAAGATGTATTTAAATGCATAAAATAAAATAATGAAAATAAAGTTGTAAATATTTTTCTCATCTAAATTCTCATCTAAGTCTACTGATCAGTCCATTTTATAGTGATTCTGGGACATGAACATTCTTAAATCGACATATGGGAATTATGAATATACACATAAAATAGGATTCTTTATAAATTATTAACACAGCAACTATGTAAATTATTGAGAAACAGATAAATTTATAAAATCACATCACTTGAGTATTTTAAGGCAAAACAAATTCTTTCCATTTTTGCTCTGTTTAAAACATCTGAATGGTAATCAATACAAGTAATTCTTGAAGTGTACTTCACAGATATAAATCAATCTAATGTTCTGTTTTAAATATCCAGTGCAAATAACTATTCTTAATCATCTCAGTCATACCTCAATAAGGGTATTTCAAATCTAAGGCTGCAAAGATGAATGGAAATGTGCAAAACTCCTATCAGCTCTTCAGCTTTAAAGCTGGTAAAAAGTCTGAGGACCTTTTTGCAGTGTGAAAGAAATGCAGTAAGAAGAACCCAGAACGGCCAAGGAACTGGTTTTTGAAAAAAACATACAACATTGCAGAAAGCAAATTCATTTCTGCACATTATATCAAAATACTAAAAACAATGTAATATTCATGTAAGTAAAATAGGTTCAAATTAGTTGAAATCAGGCTGCTCACTATGTTCTCACTTTGAAACTACAAATAAAGGATTCAAATAATCCTTCAAATAAGAATTGTCCTGAAAGCCAATCCATTTTTCCCCCTGAATTCTGTTCTGGTTGTACTCCCAATTTTCTTTGATTTACAAATTTCCCCAAATGAACTGCTATACTGCAACCAAACTACTGTAGAGTCAGAACACAAATATATCATTGCATACACTGAATCGCCAAACTCGTATATAAGATTCATGATTGAAGACTCTTACATAACTAGAACTATTGAAAATACAAGTAGCACTAACTGTAATCCAGGCTTTGCAGGCCTGAGTAAAAGTATGATTGATTGCCTACTTTGGAAAGTATAGTACTGAACTTGAAAAAGCTGTTGCATACTGGAAGGAAAAAAGATTTAGGAAACTGAAATTTAATAACGAACAGGCCCATGAAATAGTTTGAAGATGCAGAGTGCTGGCTAATATTTGCTTTTATTTCCAGTTCACTCTCTGGACAAGAGACCCTATGGAGAACACTGAAGCAGTTTTTGACGTATAAGAGCTGAGAGTTTTCCGCACTCTTTGTAGCAAAGAAAAATACCACTTGTTGAGTTTCTGTTTTCCTGCAGCAGGTTTCAAACTATCTTCTAAATTCCCAAATATTCTACTCACTCAGTTATGTCTCCTTAAACCCTACCCACGCTAGATGCCGTTGCTCCATTGCCTTGTCTCCAGCCCCTACCTAACATTGATGACGTCACACACAGCAGAGTGGGAGTATCCTAGAGATCTTTCTCCCACGTCAGACTGAAACAAAAATTCTCAGTTGGGCGGAGAGAAGATGGTAGAATGTACGCGGCCCTGCGACCGCACAGGTGCCGTTTGATCACTCACCGAAATCCAGGAACTGCTTAATAGAAAGCGGCGACGGGGAAAAGCGAGAGTAGTATTCGATTTGTTTGGGAATGGGGCTTTTTAGAAGCACCCCACATAGCCGCATGGTTCCTTACTGGAGTTGAGGAAGCGCGTTAGGTTCGCGGATATGCCAGGCCGCCACCACGAAGGACGTCGATAGGGCTCCGGTCGAACCGGCCAGGCAACCGTCTGGCGACGCGCGCGAAAGCTCACGCGCATTAACAGCGCGAGTAGAGGGCGGAAAGACGCTCGCAACTGTCACAACGGCTAGGAATCAGCAACAGTTTGCTGTTGTCACCGTTGCTCCGCTGTTCGTGCCTCACCGTAACCTACAAGAGAAAGGACGTGTTATACCTCCCACCCATCCCGTCGTCGCCGGCTATTTAAGAAACGCCCGCCCTCCACGCGCACACGGTCTTCTGACTGGATAATAAAAAGCCAACATCCTCCGGCCCTCTTGTTTTCCTGAATGCCCATTCATCTACCTAAGCACCGCCTACTATCACCATGACACCCCAAAAAAAAACGCAAGCGCAAACGCAAATGATAGTGTACTGGGCCTCTAGTTGGATTTGAAAATGAAGATGAGAGATTCGTATGCTCGGAACTGACATGTTGATGAACCCATGTTCTTTTTATTCTTAATTGAAGCTCTTCTCCCGTTTTCTCTGTCTTCAGAAGCCTCTCCTTGGGAAACAAGAGGTACTAAGTTCAACTGTATCCTTAGAAGAAAAATAATGTACAAGTTAATTGCGAAGTCCATTGAAATATTAGATGGTATAGATTTCTGTATTTCATTTCTGACCTCTTGTATTGTGTCTAACCGTTATCCTGATGACTAGGTTGAGAGTTATCTACCAAAAAGTATGTTTACTGAGGAGGACCCTGTTTCTCAGGTTTCAATCATTTCCCTGGCTGTTTTTGTGCCTGCTCTCCAGCAATCTTGGTAGCTGCAAAATTGAATGTGTGTCCTTGTTCACTGCAGTATGAGGTTACCAATGTGTTTGGGTCTCCTCAGCTGACCACTCATTTGTGTTCTTGCAATCTAGTGGTTAGCCTCCTCTTTGTTGGTCCTACATAGTCACAGGGGCAATCCATACAGGGGATTCAGTAGATTAAATTGGAAATATCTCCCACCTCCAAACTATCTTTACAATGCATAATTTGTCCCTGTATAGTAGCTTCTGGGTGGTATGCGATGCTCACTTGCAGATCTCACAAGCTGCATTCTACAGCTTCTGAGATGTTTTTGATGTATGGCAAGGTGTGCCATGTGATAGGTCTTGTACCTTGTATCTTCCTTTCTCTCCCCACCATGTTGCCAAGAGACAAGGATTCTTCTCTGGAGCAGGAGACACTACACCATTTCTGACAAATGGCAGTCCAATCTCTTCTTGAAAGCCTCCAGTGATGAAGCTTCCACAACTTCTGAAGGCAAGCTGTTCCATTGGTTGATTTTTCTCACTGTCAAAAAATTTCTCATTTCTAGGTTGAATCTCTCCTTGATCAGTTTCCATCCATTATTCCTTGTCTGGCCTTCAGGTGCCTTGGAAAATAGCTTGACCCCTTTTTCTCTGTGGCAGCCCCTCAAGTATTGGAAGACTGCTATCATGTCTCCCCTGGTCCTTCTCTTCGTAGACTAGCCATGCCCAGTTCCTGTAACCGTTTTCTTATGTTTTAGTCTCCAGTCCCCTAATCATCCTGGTTGCTCTTTTCTGCATTTTTGTAGAGCAGTGGTTCTCAACCTTCCTAATGCCGCGACCCGTTAATACAGTTCCTCATGTTTGGTGACCCCCAACCAGGGGTGGGTTCTAAAATTTTTTACTATCGGTTCTGTGGGCGTGGCTTATTTTGTGGGCATGGCTTGGAGGTCATGTGACTGGGTGGGCGTGCCTAGCTGGTCATGTGACCGGGTGGCCATGGCTGTGTATATAGGGACTAACCAGAGGGCTGAAAAAAGTCATTTCTGACAGGTCCTCGCACTTTTGACTGGTCCTCACACTTATGACCATCCTCACATTTATGCCCGTGCAGCATTCTTAACAACCATGTCAGTCATTTCACAACTGCTTCTCTTCACCATGGTGATAAGATAGGGCAAAAAACGTAAAATGTGAGGACAGTCGTAAATTCGAGGACTGGTCAAAAGTGCAAGGACCAGTCAAAAATAACTTTTTCAGTCCTCTCAGTAGTCCATATGCATAAAAGGATACAGCAATAGAGAGGGATGAAGGAAGGGAAGGAAAATTAGAGTAGGAGTGAGGGGAAGAGAGGGAGGAAGAGAGGAGGAGAAGGAGAAAGGAAGAGGAAGTAGGAAGGAGAAGAAGAGGGGGGGAAGAGAAAGTAAGAAGAAAGAAAAGAGAGAGGTGGTAGGTTTGAGGAGAAAGATTGCTATACAATAAAAAAGATGAAAGGGAAGAAAACCAACCCCAAACAAATATAAAGATATTAAGATAAAGAATGAATTGTTAAACTTTAAAGAATAAAAGAGAACAAATATGAATAAATAGCAATAATTAGAAACACACATACAAACATACAATGTATTTTCTTTGAACAGAGTATTTGGCCGGTTCACAAATTTAACCAGTGTTTAGTCATTTCAATTAAATTTACAATTTCTATATTTTCTTTTTGCCATATTTATTCCTCATCTATTTTTTTAAAAAAACAATATTACCCTTCATCCTCATCTCTAATCTTAATCAAATTCAATTTTTCCCTTCTATTCTATATTATATCCCTTCCCATTGTCATCTATTTTTATATCCATCCTCACATTGGTTAATTATGTAATTATGTAATACAGTTGTTTAATACAAATTCAACATTTTAATATAAATCAATTAGTTATATAACTATCTTTTTTGTATATCGATCAATATGAACATGAATATTCCAATTATTTCTATGTAATCCAATTTCTTACAAATTAATTAATTATATTTACCAATAATAATAAACCAAATAATTTCCCCCATACATTCCTCCAAACCACAACTTAACCATTTCTGCTTTCAACACAATCTACAATTAATAGTATCTCAATTATTACAATTCCCTAGTTAAATAGAGCTTTTTTCTTTTGTGTTTTAAAATCTTGAACCTCCTCTTTTGCCCTAAATTTCCCATTGTTTGCAGTTTTGCACCTACCTTTTTTGGTGCAGAAAAAGAAATATCCCTCTGCCTCATTTTGTCACCTTGCAACAAAGATCCTGCTTTACTTTCAGTTTCGTTTTTCAGCATAGTTAGGGGGGGAAAAATCTGCTCCTCTCTTTGCAGCTAGCAACAGAGCCCTCCGCAAAACAGCTGAGAGCAAATCAGCTGAGAGTCCGAGGCTGATCAAATCTACTTATGGTAATTAACCTATGCTGAAGCTGAAAGGGGCTGTTTTTTTTCTATTTTTGCAGGCCCCGGTCTTCTCATTTGTTTTCTTTTAACACTGATCAGATGTAGGGCGGGCCTTTGAAGCCCCGCGGCAAGAATTTAAACAGTTTTTTTCCCTCTAGCCATCAGCTGGGACTCAGGAGGCAGCAATAGATTGGGAGTGGGCAGGGTAAGCGAACAGCCGGCAATCCAACAGAGCAGAGAGTGAGGGTGAGTTAAGGCGTGGGGGGGCAAGAGAGGGCTTTGGCGACCCCTGTGAAATGGCCATTCAACCCCCAAAGGGGTCGCGACCCCCAGGTTGAGAACCGCTGTTCTAGAGTCTAAACATCTTTTTTATAGTGTGGTGACCAAAACTGGATGCAGTATTCTAGGTGTGGTCTTATTACCTCACTTGATCTTGATTGTGTGTTGTTAGTTGCGAAGTTGCGTCCGACCCACCGTGACCCCATGGACAATGTTCCTCCAGGCCTTCCTGTCCTCTACCATCCTCTGGAGTCCATTTAAGCTCATGCCGACTGCTTCAGTGACTCCATCCAGCCACCTCATTCTCTTGTCGTCCCATTCTTCTTTTGCCCTCAATCTTTCCCAGCATTAGGCTCTTCTCCAGTGAGTCCTTCCTTCTCATTAGGTGGCCAAAATATTTGAGTTTCATCTTCAGGATCTGGCCTTCTAAAACAGTCAGGGTTGATCTCCTCTAGGACTGACTGCAAGTTTCTTGCAGTCCAAGAAACTTGCAGGAGTCTTCTCCAGCACCACAGTTCAAAGGCCTCAATTCTTTGGCACTCAGCCTTTCTTATGGTCCAACCTTCATAGCCATACATTGCAACCGGGAAAACCATAGCCTTGACTATACGCACTTTTGTTGGCAGGGTGATGTCTCTGCTTTTTAGTATGCTATCTAGATTTGCCATAGCTTTCCTCCCCAGGAGCAAGTGTCTTTTAATTTCTTGGCTGCAGTCCCCATCTGCGGTGATCTTGGAGCCCAGGAAAATAAAATCTGTCACTACCTCCATTTCTTCCCCATCTATTTACCAGAAATTAAGAGGGCCGGATGCCATGATCTTAGTTTTCTTAATGTTGAGTTTCAAGCCAACTTTTGCACTCTCCTTCTTTACCCACATCAAGAGGCTCTTTAGTTCCGCTTCACTTTCTGCCATTAAAGTGGTATCAGCTGCATATCTGAGGTTGTTGATACTTCTCCCAACAATCTTAATTCCAACTTTTGATTCATCTAGCCCCGCCTTTCTCATGATGTGCTCTGCATATAAGTTAAATAGGCAGGGTGACCGCATACAGCCTTGCCGGACTCCTTTCCCAATTTTGAACCAATCAGTGGTTCCGTGTCCAGTTCTCACTGTTGCTTCTTGACCCGCATATAGGTTTCTCAAGAGACAAATAAGATGGTCTGGAACTCCCATCTGTTTAAGAACTTGCCACAATTTGCTGTGATCCACACAATCAAAGACTTTAGCATAGTCAATGAAGCAGAAGTAGATGTTTTTTTCTGGAACTTCCTAGCTTTCTCCATGATCCAGCGTATGTTGGCAATTTGATCTCTAGTTCCTCTGCCTCTTCAAAATCCTACCTGCACTTCTGGTAGTTCTCGGTCCACAGATTGCTGGAGCCTAGTCTGTAGGATTTTAAGCATAACCTTACTAGCATGTGAAATGAGTGCAATGGTGCGATTGTTTGAACATTCTTTGGCATTGCCTTTCTTTGGAATTGGAATGTAAACTGACCTTTTCCAATCCTGTGGCCACTATTGAATTTTCCAAATTTGCTGGCAAATTGAGTGTAGCAGTTTTACTGCATCGTCTTTTAAGATTTTGAATAGCTCAGTTGGAATACTGTCACCTCCACTAGCTTTGTTGTTTCTCAGATTTCCTAAGGCCATTTGACTTCACATTCTAGGATGTCTGTCTCAAGGTCAGTGACCACACCATCGAAGTTATCAAGGATTTCAATTTCAATTTCAATTTAATTCAATTTATATGCCGCCCCTCTCCAAAGACTCAGGGCAGCTAGGGATGTTAAGCTAGTTCTTGTATAGTTCTTCTGTGTAATTTTGCCACCTCTTCTTAAT